GGATCTAACGCAGAGAAGAGACTTGTGGTTTTGATAACTTGAGGCCCACAGGGATGGGCCTCCACTGTAAATACACACACAATAATAATATTAATAAATTATTAAATATAATATTAGTAATATTAAATTGATGCTTATATTATTTTTAAATATTTAAATCGGCAATTCAATTAATTTTTTTATTCTTTTAATAATCTATTTTTTAAAAAAAAATTATGTATTAATATGTTGTTGGAAATCCTCGCGAGATCACAAATTATTCAACGAGACTTTGCACGAATGTCGCCTTTCTAAAAGCACTACAAAAATAATCGAAGAATATCATATGAATTAACATTTCGTTATTACTCGTATAAGACAAAACGAAAACACTCGTATGATAACATTAACCCGTGTATCGTTCCTTCGTGTATATATATATATATATATTTTCAATTAAGTCTTATGAGTTTTTATACCTCTCGTCTAAAAATAAATATTAAGACAAAAAGAAAAATTAATATATTTAACAAGCTAACAATTAAATTATTATTTACGCGAACGTAGTTACTCCAAGTATTATACATCAAGAGAAATCGGTACCTCCTTAGAACGAGATCGAAAACATAATTTTTTATAGTAATAATAATTAAACAACAAGAAAATCGATTTAAGTCTTTCTCTACACTTGCTTGAACGATTTAAGTTGAAGAAAATCGATAGTTAGGGCAAACCATCGATCACTCTCTTCGAGAGTCTGAACTCGAAACTAACGAAACTAACACTATATTCGCTACTTAGTCATAAGTCAATTAATCATTAAAAAAAAAAAAACAATACATTGTTTTACAGATTAAAAATTTTCTTCATTGCGATTAGGAGCTCTACACGACATCTCATACGTATTCGGAGAAACTAACATATGCACTCACCATCCTGCTCATCGTGCATTAACCACATATCCATGAGTGCTATGGGAAGGTGGAAGAAATCCCTGATGTTTGGATTTCTGTAATACCATTTCGGCCGGGTCAATAGATCATAGCAGGAGTTTTTTCTTTCTCTTTGTTTCTATCAAAGAAAGAAGGAAATTGGTAACTGGGTAGGGAGGCTTGGTTGAGGAGGATAAGGTGATTTGAAGTGGCTAAGGAAGAAAAATAGAAGGGAGTTGGGTAGGGGTTAAAGTTGGTTTCTCTTTCTCTTGTTGGAAGACATGTCGAAAAGAGAGATGAGATCAGTGTGGCAATTATTATGGATGTTGATTCGTTCTGTCGACAGGACAGTCACAGGGCTTGGAGGACAGTCATAGTTCTGACCAAACCCTTTTGATTCTTCTTTCATTACCAGATGGCACCAAGCAAGATTTTCCTGAGAAAATGGACAAAACCCATGAATGGAACAGTACCCTTTAATTATATACGTCTGTATATACATATGTGTATGTACACACGCACACACACACACACACCTTCTGATCTTGGTTGAAGAGCTTTGTAATGGATGCTAAGTGAGAATCAGATGCTGATGGAATCAATTCCTTTAAACTGCACCATACGGCAGATACAGCAACAGCACTTGGTGGATACTCCACCAG